AGGCTCAGACTTTACACAGCCTGGAATTTGGCAAACCCACTGCATGTTGGGTAGAGGGCCAGCTCCCCAGCCAACTTATGTGTGCACCTATGGTGGCTGTTGGAGGAGGTGGTTTACCTGGACGAACCATTTTCAGTGCCTCTCTCTGCAAGAACTTTGCTAAGAATAAAACGTCATTCAGTGCAGAGTTCCTGAATCCCTTATAAAATAGGCCTGGCTCTTTGAGATGATTCCAGAAAAGCCTTCATAAATGTATGGACAATTATTGCTAAAAGAATGATGCTTAAGGCTAGCCTGCTTAAGATCAAATTAGTACTGCACTGTGTTTTTTTAATGGGCTGGAAGTTTGCTTTGGGATTCTATACAGCACCAGTGGATTAAAAAGAAGAACAAATGCTCAAGTTTTAGTACTTAGAATTTAAAGAGTGTATTGGTTTATAGTTGTGTCTTTGCTTTTGGCCCTTTTAGTTATATTAACGTATTTTTCATGCTGAATTACAAGGAACAAATCTTTATTTATATAATCCTCATTCTACTGAAAATATGACCTGCTTTGGGGGTTGTTGGGGGAGGGGAATCATCTCTTATATAATGTGATTCCATTTCCACAGGAACTTTCTTTGTGGGTGTTAACAATATCTCATACAAATAAGGGTTATAAACTTGCCCTAATCTTTGAGATTGACTTTATGAAAAGTCTATTTATAGAACTTGCTTATTTACTTTTTTTTTTAAAAAAAAAAAGTCACTAGAGCATGGTAGAATTTAAGTTGCCAGGCAGAATGACAGACACAGACAGACAGAGGGAGAGAGAAAGCACTCCCCTGATGGGGAATGGGCCCACTGCAGTCCTATCTCCATTTCTCCGGCCTGTCAGGATTTGAGGCAGACACTTACACATACCTGGCATGTGTTTTTTCAAGCTGCCAAAGCTGGATTCGAACTGTAGTCGGCCATATGGGATCTAGCCCCTTTAATCATTAGCCCACAAGGCAAGCCCAATTGTTTTTGTTCTCGTTCAGGATCTCTGACCTCATTGGAGGATTTAAAGTTGCTCTTGGAACAGTACAGTAAGACCTACAACTTAAACTTGTGCCTTTGGATTTTCGCCCACGTTGAAGATGGGCCTCAGAGATGAAATTGGAGTTTATTCTGGTAGCTGGTCTTAGTTCAGTCTGCACCAGGCTGCCCTATAGGGTCTTTCTGTTCGTGGTGTCCTGAGCTGCAGCTTTTTAATGGGCACGTGGATTCAGGGTCTCGGTTCAAGCCCTGTTGGGGCAGCTTGCTTGCATTTACATTGTGTCTATTTTAAATGGACAATGTCTGGATTTTTCTGAGGCAAATCGTATGAGGCAGACTCTGTGGTTCTTAGTTCCTGGTCCTTGAACCTGCTTCTGCCTCCTCCCCCTTGTTCATCTCATGGTTTTGGGGGACTTGTGGACATTTCTGTATTTTCGTGATTCTCTTTTTATTGATGGTGTCTTTGTTACAGGAAGAGCCATCTTTTCTGTTTCTAGTGTTTGGTTTAGGACTCCTTGCCCTGCTTCTTAATCACCTGTCACCTGAGAAGTGGCCACACGAGGCAGACTACCACACTGTTTGTCTCAGCTCTCTTTTGGGAATGATGAAAAAGGCGAATCTTTAGCAACGAGTTACATCTCAGGATGGCATGATATTTTCCAATTAGTAGGTTAGCGTAACCCAGAGATCTTACTTGGGTTTGGGTAGCAACTGCTTCACCATCAGATTGTCCTTAGGGATTAGCTCTTCATATGAAAAATCCTTCCAGAATGGAGAGCTGTTGCAGCCTTTATTCCTAGGGCAATCTGCAGTCTGAAAGGAAATACCTATTCCGATATGGACAGTGTTAGACCTTCTGTCTAAATAGGGATATTTTCTAGTAAGCCAATGAGAGCTATGCTTTTTTCCCAGGTTAACATTCTGTGACATGCTCTGGTTGGTGGCAAGACGTTTTTCGATGTTAGATTGCGTCCTTTATTGTTTTAATTTACCTCAGGGAAGCATAATGCTAAAACAAAAATAAAAGGAAGGGGTATTCTCTCAAAAAATTGGCAGCAATTAAAGGCATATTTTTAGGAGAACACAGCTCCTATATAAAAACCTTCATGTAAATGGTTTAAAGTTTTTCCATTCAAGTTCATTATTTCTCTAGAATTAGTAGGTAACATTTAAGCTTAGTATTTTTGTGTGTGTGTGTGTGTGTGTGTGTGTGTGTGTGTGTGTGTGTGGAGAGGTTTTCGCTATAGGGCGCGTGCGCTTGCCAGACAGTCAGAGAGAGACATAGAGACAGAAAGCGAGAAATCACCCCCCAGGGGGGATGGTCAAGCCACAATCCCCTCTCCTCCATTCTCCTCTCGGGATCTTGGGCACGCACGTACACGCACCTGGCATGAGATTTAAGCCACTGGGTCCAGGGCGCGAACCACAGTCGACTACATGGGAATCCAGCAACATAGCCATTATGCTAACTGCCGGTTCCCAAGCTTAGTATATTTTATGGCAAGGATACTATCTTAACAATGGATTTCACCTACCCCTAGCGTAGTACCTGCAGGCAGAAGACAAACAAGAAATGCTTAGTGAGTAGAAGTGTCAGGTGGGGACCAGACTGTGGCATTGTCATAAAATGATGCTCTGCTAAGTTGACCCATGTGGGGAAGTTCAGGACTTGGATCCAGAGACCTTCTGAGTACACCAGGCATGTGTGCACCTGCGGTCTGGGTCTGGCTGAAGCTGGGGGTGGACCACAGCATCAGGACCCTGTTGGAGGTCCTGTCTTTCTCTCTCTCTCTCACTCGCTCATGGAAGAAGTAAATAAATAAACTTAAAAAAAAAGTTAGATGGGGGCCCAGCAGGTGGTGTACTGGTTGGTTGGGGGACTGGACTCCCACATGGTGACCTGGATGTGGCAGCTTGCTTTCTCACTGCCAGCCCACAAACTCATCTGTCTGTGAGTGCCCTATAGCAAATAATTAGAAAAAAAAAAGATTAAAATAGTAATGATAATAAAATTAATAATGCTTTAAACATGTTAGATGGCAAGTCCAGCAGATGGTGTAATGGTTACATTGCTGGACTCCCAACATAGTCCCCCACAGTTCAAGTTCCAGACCTGGAGACTTAAAATTCACACTGGGTGCATGTGCATGTGTGCCCAAGATCCCAAGAAGAGAATGGAGAGGGGATTGTGGCATGGCCATCCTCCCCCAGGGGGTGGTTTCTAGCTTTCTGTCTCTCTCTGTCTTTCTAGCAAGGGCGTGCACCCTATCACAAAAATTTCTCTTAAAAAAAAAATGTTAGATGAGGACCAGCAGATGGTGTAATGGTTATGTCACTGGACTCCCATGTAGTTGATTGTGTTTGGAGTTTTGGACCTGGCAGCTTAAAACTCACGCTGTGGGGGCTGGCAAGTGGCATGGTGGTTAAGGACCCTGGACTCCCATGTGGCCAACCACAGTTTGAGTCCTGGACCTGGTGACTTGCTTTTTCACTTTTTCTCTCTCTCTCTCTCTCTCTCTCTCTCACTCTCACTCTCACTTTCACTTTCACCGACCCTCTCTGGTCAAATTAAAATAAACAAATAAAGTCAGATAAAAAAAAATTCTTGGGAACCAGCAGTTAGCGTAATGGCTATGTCGCTGGACTCCCATGTAGTCGACCGCGGTTCGCGTTCCGGACCCAGTGGCTTAAAACTCATGCCAGGTGCGTGTGCGTGCGTGCCCAAGAGCCCGAGAGGAGAATGGAGGAGAAGGGATTGCGGCATGACCATCCCCCCTTGGGGGTGATTTCTCGCTTTCTGTCTCTATGTCTCTCTCTGTGTGTCTGGTGAATGCACTTGCCCTATAGCGAAAAAAAAACCCTCCCAAAAAAGGAAAAAAAAATTCTTAAAAACAAAACAAACAAACAAACAAACTCATGCCAGGTACGTATGCATGCACAATCCTAAGGGAAGAAGGAATTACAGTGTGGCCATAGCAAGCACACACACGCTACAGCAAAAATCTCTCTCTCTCAAAGAAAAAGATGTTAGATGAAGATGTATACTCTTGCTCTTTTATTTTCTTTACCTTTTCCTGAGAGTGATATTTGTTCTATTGGGGTCTCTTGTGTCTGAAATGCTAAGAGGAGTTGTTGTTCTCTGCTTGTTCTTTCTAGTTCTTTTAATTACTGCTTGGTCTTGCAGAACCTGAGTTTTAAAGAGCTAACTAAAAATAGATTTGTCATTGTAAGCACCTCATCACATCTGCTTTTTTTCTGGGTCCCTGCAAGGTTGACCAGCTTATTTTGGAGTCACACATCAAAAACAACATCTGTTTAGTCAACATTTCCTGCGTTAGAAAACCATGTCACATTTAAAACTTCTTTCATTCAACTGTGCTTTCAGAGCAGAGAAAAAGATGAAGATAAGTGTGGCCATGTTGAGGTAGCGTGGACCTGGCTGAGTTGGCTCAGTTGTCCATTGCATCCTTGAAGGGTTTACAGACACAGGATTGCCTCAGTGACGTGCTCACTTTTTTCTCCCCCTATGTTTAATCATGTTGACTCTCCAAATGTCAGTGGTGCATTAGGCACTGGTAGGTGGCAGAGTCTGAGGGCTTCCTCTCTGAGGTTTGCCCATCAGTATGGTAAGAGAACGTGTTGGAGTTTGGAGAGGGGTTTGGGTTCAATCTCCCTCACTTTCCAGGTGTATCGCCTTGGTCCAGGAATCTCTTAATGCCTCCAGTGACAGCCACTTATGTCGTTCAGAATTGAAGTCTCTGTTTAATTATGGTTTGATACTCATATGTATTTGCCCTGTGGTTTTTGGTTATACATTAGTGGAACCAGCTAGGAAGAGGTTCACTCAATGTATGAGCATCAATGAGTAATGTAATGTCTGTGGTGATGCCTCCTGCTCAGTAAAATCAACTTTTGGAGCCAACGTTTCCATGGCTTTTGAGTTTCTTGATTTTCACATCTGTGTGGTTTTCATTTTCCAGCTGCAGCATGAGAAGGCTGAACTAGAACAACACCTTGAACAGGAGCAGGAATTTCAGGTCAACAAACTAATGAAGAAAATTAAAAAGCTGGAGAATGATACCATTTCCAAGCAACTTACATTAGAACAGGTAAACATCCATAGTTTTCTCCTATTGTCTACTTGTATGTGTGTGTGTGTGTGTGTGTGTGTGTGTGTGTTTCAAACTTTAGATGTTCCAAGGGGGTCAGCTGGTGGCATAGTGGTTAAGGAAGCTGGATCCCACATGGTCAGCTACACAGTTTGTGTCTTGGACCTTGTGGCTTGAGAAACACACCAGGTGCATGTGCATGTACACCTAAAGTCCTTAAAGGAGAAATGGAGAGGAAGGAATTCAAGCAGGGTCACTTCCATCCCCCCATTAAGGATGCTTTCTCACTTTACCCCTCCTTCTGTCTCTTTGGCAATTACATGTGCCTGCTAGCAAAAAAAATGATGCCCAAAGGGATATAAGTGAAAAATACTTCTGAGCTTTCTTCTTCCCACAGCAAAGAATCCATTTTGGAAGTAAGCGCTGACAGGTTCACACAGGCTCACTCTCTCACGTACTTCTCTTTTTAACTACAATTAATAAAACTTCAGGAGATATGTTGTGATGGTCTAAATTATAGCAGGAAAAGTCAGGTTTCGTTTTGTATGACCACAGGATAGTTTCTGTGAAAGTTCCTGAGATAGTGTTGCTTTAAAATTAATGTTTATCTTTCAAGGAAATAATTAGCTTTTTCCTTTGAATTATTAGTGACCTTATTTGAACCCTGTCCTCTCCTAGTGAGACCTGTTGCTGCAGGTATGGAACGGTAAACTTGGTAACTCATCCTGCATTCACTTCTCAGGGCCCACCTCCATCTGTAAACAAAACAGACTAAAATCAGGAATGGCAAACTTAAGGAGGTACAAAAGGTGGAAAGTCGTGTTGCACAGGCCCTTTTTTGCTCTTGGCAGACACTGGTGATGTTCGTATTGGTTGTCTTGGGAGTCTAGACTGGTCCCTATACTCCTTAATCACACACAACTGGGGGCCACCATTGCCACTCCATTGGGCTTGGTCGATTTTATCCCCGGCCGGTGCTCCCTAACACCTCTTCCCACTCTAGGGTCTTCACATTTTATTTTCTTCATGTAAGTATTTTTTAAGAGGCTGACCAGTGTCCTACTACCTGGGTTTCCATATAACATGAATAGATTGATTAGGATCTTTTAATTTTTATATTTTAGATCCTGATTGCCGAAGTTGCTTGGTTTATCTCAAATTTAGGGTGTTCACTGTGCCCGTTAGTCCATGCTGACTACTTCATCGGTCAGTCTCAGGACTGCTGTAGTTTCAGCCTTTTTTCACCTAAGAATAAAAACAGTAATGGGAATGTGAGGGTTGAGGAGAAGTTGGGGTTTATTTTAAACTTATTTTAATTTAAAAAAATGTATTCTGTTCACTACCTATATCAAAAGGGAAATGTTCCTGAGTTTTCCAAGACTGAACAGGGATCCTAAAAAATTTCTTCATTTCTTCTACATTAAGGGAAAATAAAAGGTTACTTGTCAAAGATCAACTATTTATATGAATTATTTCCCAAATTTAGATGCAGTATCTAGTATTTAGAAGACTTCTTTCATCCCTGTCCCCAGCTTTTAAAACTTTTTGTTCCAGAGGTTACTTGGTTAATTCCCGGGATGGGCAGTAGCTCCAATACTGTTCCAGTGTTGAAGATTCTCATTCCATGTCTCTAACACACCAAGTATTGGTTACTCAACAGTTAACCAGGTAACCAAGGGAAATTCTTACAGTAGCTGGTATTATGAAAACTTTGCTTGGCCTCTGCCTTCAGAGTGTTGATTGTCGGGATTTGATGCAGCTTCTCTTTGTATCTGTTGCACAGGCTCCTTCCTACTGAAACTTGAGACTGGGGCTGTAGCACGGAGGCTTTAGCTATGGCCACAAGGTGGAGATAGTGGTCTAGTGTCAGAGAGAGAAGGTCAGTCTGATCTTAAGCTCCCTGGGAGAGAGGTGCTGACTGCCTCACTGACTTAGAGCCTTTTGCAGACTTCAGTAATGGAACCCCTTTAAAACATCCGTTTTCTCTACCATGGTAATGACCTCGTGAACTGTTAAGCTTCTTTCAGGCCTCCGCTGTAAAACAATTTCCACAATTGCATGTGTGCATTGCAAAGTACCATGGTACATAATAGACCTCAGATCAAAGATAACAAGCTCAGATTTTATTGAGAATGGAGAAATTTGGGAACCAGCAGTTAGCGTAATGGCTATGTTGCTGGACTCCCACGTAGTCAACCGCGGTTCGTGTCCCAGACCTGGTGGCTTAGAACTCACACCGGGCGCGTGTGCGTGCGTGCCCAAGATCCCAAGAGGAGAATGGAGGAGAAGGGATTGCTGCGTGACCATCCCCCCTGGGGGGTGATTTCTCGCTTTCTGTCTCTATGTCTCTCTCTGTCTGTCTGGCGAGCGCACGCGCCCTATAGCGAAAATCTCAAAAAAAAAAAAATGTGGAGAAATTTAATATCCACTTAAGTCCACTACCACACATGTATTTTGCTTTGATTTGGTTCAGGATGATTAAATTGGGGGGGTGTGTTATTCTGTAGTTATTCTGTATTTTGGTTAACTAACTGCTAGTAATTTTTGTCAGTGTAGGGATAATTGTTTTTTTCTCTTCAATAGAGATCTCTCCCAAGTTTTCATGAGTGTGATCTTACCAGCTCTTAGGCGTTCTCTTGGGATTATCGTCAGTATTATATGCTGTGGTAAACTACGTGCTGTCGTATACACTACCTGTAGACTATAGTCGTTATTATAACATAATCAATAGTGCTGTTATTAGAGCAGTGCCATACACCTACGTGTTACAGTGATTTATAGATAGTATATGTGTTGGCTCTTCTGACAGTAAACATGTTTTAATTATAAACTATTTGAAGGCCGTTATTTTTTGTGTTTCTTGCCCCCACACATGGCTTACTGCTTCGTTAGAACCGTTTCAGGGTAGACTTGGCCCTATGACTGGAGAACGGTCCTCTTAGAAGGCAGTGCAGGGTCGTGTTCAGGGCCTGTGTGCTATCTCAAAAAAAATACCAGATAGGAACCTATTTCCTTGGCTCCGTACTTTAGCCAGTTTACTTTATTTAAACAGCTCTGTCGAGATCTAATTTACCTACTATACAACTCATCCGTTTAAAATATTCAGTGGTTTTCAATATACTCAGAGCTGTGCAGCCATTGCTACAGTCAGTTTTAGATTGTTTCCAAGACCTCAGAAAAAAACCCGGTTCCTCTTAATCCCTTAAGCAATCAAGACTCTACTTTCTATTTCCCTATTCTAGATGTTTCATGTAAATAGAACCATATAATACAGTCTTTTGTGACTAGCTCCTTTCATTTAGCATAACGTGGGACTAGCAGATGGCATAATGGTTACATCACTGGATTCCCACATGGCCAACTGGAGTTCGAGTCCTGGACCTGTCGGCTTAAAACTCACACTGGGCGATTGTGCATGCCCAAAATCCCTAGAGGAGAAGGGATTATAGCATGGCCATGCCCCCCTGAGTTCTCTCTTTCTGTCTCTCTGGCATGAGCATGCATTCTATAGCAAAAATCTCTCTTGGGGGAAAAAAGGTCTCATTTAGCATCATGTTTTTAGCCATATTGTAGCATATGTGTATTTTTTTTTTCCTGGTCAAATAATTGTCCATTATACGGATGTATGATATCTTATTCATTCATTCATCATCTGACAGATATATAGGTTGATTCCACCTTTGGTTAGTATGAATAATGCTGCTGTGAATGTTTTTGTACCATTATTTGTGTGGACGTATGGTTTTATTTTTCATGGGAATAGCCTAAGAGTGAAATCGCTGGATCACATGGAAACTCCTTTTGATATTTTATAGTAATTGATTTTTATTTTTTTTTTAATTTTATTTTTCATTAGCTTATTTTTAATTTGACAGATAAACACACACACACACACACACACACAGAGAGAGAGAGAAAGAGAGAAAGAGAGAGAGAGAGAGAGAGAGAGAGAAAGAGGGAAAGTGAGAAAACAAGCCACCAGGTCCGGGACTCAGACCTCGGTCAGCCACGTGGGAGTGTCCAGCACCTTAACCACCATACCATCTGCTGGTCCCAGTCACTGATTTTTTAAAGTAAATATTTTGAACCTTATTTGTTGAACCTGCAGAATGGATAATGGAAGGCCTTGTACCAGTGCTTTAAGTTGGCCTTCTGTGTGTGTTTTGAAGGCATAGCTTGTGTTGTAATGGTTTTTGATTTTGGTTTTTGGTTTTGTTTTTTACGTTATCGGAGGGGAAAGGCACCCCCCAATGGGGCATAGCCATACCACAATCTTTTCTTCTCCATTTCTTCATCCGATCAGGACCTTGGGTACACAATTCACATGCTCAGTGTGTTTTTCAGTTCACTGGGGCCTGGATCTGATGGCAATTTTCCATGTGGGAATTGGTTCTCATAACTACTAGTTAATGGACCAGCCCTGATTGTGATGGCTTTTAAGCAGGCCCTGGCACCTTCCTGCCTTTGTAAAGCAGAATTTAACTGGGCTCGAAACTTTGCACTGGGCTCCTTCCAAAGCAATCCCTAGTTAACTCACTTGCCAGAAGGCCCTCGTTACAAGGATTTTTTTTTTTACTGAAAGTCAGACTTTAGCAGACATACTTCATCAGTCAGATAATGTCTATTCTTCTCTTAGACCTAGAATCTGGGATCCTCTTACCCTTCAAAAAGGGAATGTTGACAGCTTGATCACTGAGGTCTCTGGGCTAAAAGTGGTTCTATTGGTGTTTTGTTTTATCTGAATTCCTAGTATTTCTTAAGAGCTAGAAGGCAACAGTGTAAGAAAGGCTACCTTTGTCCCTAGACCCTAGTGAGGACAGGAGACAGTGGGGAATCTAGATGCTGGGGACCAGCTCTGCTCCCAGAATTTGGGACAACATTTTATTTCTATTTCTTCTCCCAGAACTTGCTGCAGGGGAGGAGGTTTGTAATACTCGTTACTCTGTGATAGACCAGGTTGGCTGTAAGTGACCCGACTTACTCGTGCTCCTTTCTCATAA